GTTTATGACCTGTGTCATTTTTAACTAATACTAAATCTCCTATATTTATTTGTATGCTATTTAGGTTCCTGTCATAATATGCTTTTTGTTTGGTTTTTGCTTTTTCTAATAATAATTTTGATCTATTCGTAGCTATCTGTAATCTATATTTTACTTCCTTATCGTATGCTTCATGGTTGTATACTGGACTAACCTTACCTTCTTCTAGAAAGTCATACGTTTGTGGTTTTTTACCAAAAACCAGTTCAAATGGGCAATACCCATGTACTGTTGATGGTGTTGTATTGTAGCAATATGTAAAGTACTTTAGCCATTCGTCCCAATCATTCTTTTCACTAGAGATGTACGAGCGAACATACTCGTTGAATGTTCGGTGTGTACGTTCTACTGCACCGAGTGTCTGATGGTGATGGGCTGTCGATGTTCTATGTTTAATTTTTAATAACTGGCATAATTCGGAAAAAATGCTGTTTTTATATTCTGTACCCATATCCGTTATGAGCGTCCTCATAGGACCATAGATAAGAATAAAGTTATTAAAGATACTACTGGCTACGACTTTAGCATGCTTGCTAGGGATCGGTATTGTAATAAGGTATTTAGTCAAATCGCATAGAATTGTAACGGCGTATTCATTATTATTTTCTGACCTTGGTAGGGGTCCTATTGTGTCGATCTGAACCGTATCGAATGCTTTCGCTGGCGTTGCAGTTAATTGCATTTCTTCTTTGTTGTGTTTGAGAGTTTTGTTCTTCAAACATTTGTCACAATGTTTGATATACTTTTTTATATCCCTTGTCATGTTTTTCCAGTTGTATTTTTCTCTAATCTTGGTAATTGTACGATTGACTCCCTGGTGGCCTCCAGTAATTGGGTCGTCGTGGAATTGTTTTAATATTTGCAAGTATGTTGTTTTTGGCGTTAACGCAATTGTTATGTCTGTAAGGTTTTTATTTCCCATTTCTTTAAATTCTTCTACCCGGGTATATTTAAATATTCTGTCTTCTAAGGACAGTTGTAATTTAGTGACGCCTAGATTACCGGCTTCTAAAGTAAGCCTCTTGAACAATTGTCCTAAGTCAATTTTCTCGTTAATAATCAGGTCATTCACTATAAATTGGCTACAAATTCGTTTTCCCTTTTTGAATAGTAAATTCGGAAGGGTCAGAATGAGCTCGACATGTCGTTTTACTTCTTTTTTATATAGCGCTTCATATATTTTTGGGACCTTAAGACTTTCTTTACCAGTCGTATTAAGAGTGTTTTTTGTTTTTACTTTTTCGGCTTCTGACCGTGTTGTTACTTTAAGTATTTGAGCTGCCTTGGCAGTTAAGTTTTTTAAATCTGATATTTCTATGCGGGATAGCGCATCCGCTACATAGTTTTCTTTTCCTGCTATGTACTCCACCACAAAATCATATTCTTCTAAATCTAATCGCATTCGTGTTAACTTAGACGACGGGTTTTTCATTGAAAATAGGTATGTTAATGGGCGATGATCTGTTTTCACCAGGAATTTTGTACCGTATAGGTATGGTCTGAAATATGTTATAGCCCAGTGAATTGCTGCTAATTCTTTTTCTATTGTTGATTTATTGGATTCGCCTTTTGTGAATGCCTTAGATGCATATGCAACTGGTAATTGCTTACCATCGTACTCTTGGCTTAGTACTGCTCCACATGCGAAACCGCTGGCATCTGTTGTTAAGCAAAATGATTTTTTGAAATCTGGGTATTGTAAGATTTGAGGGCTTATAAGAGCATTTTTAAGAAAATTGAAAGCTGTGTTGCACTCTTTCGTCCATATAAAGGGTGTATTTTTTCTACTTAATCTTGTTAAATTACGAGCTTGCTCTGCAAAATTTGGAATAAATCTTCTATAGTAGTTACAAAATGCAACAAACCTTTTTGTTTCGTCTGCTGATGTTGGTGTTGGGTAGTTTTGAATTAATGTGAACTTAGTGTCGTCTGGCAATATCCCTTTGTCTGTGCATTTATGGCCTAAGTATGTTACTTCGTGACTAAAAAATAAACATTTGTCTGGGTGCAACTTTAGATTGTATTTTCTGCAGATAGTGAACACATCTCTAAGGTTTTTTAACATGTGTTCTTCGGAACAGCCTAATACGACCAAGTCGTCCATGTATAGGAATGCCTGTGCAGGTGATAATCCTGCAAATGCCATGGTCATCATTCTTTGGAATGAGTTTGGGGCTATTTTGAGGCCGTAAGGCAATCTTTTGAATCTATATGTTCCGTTATCTGCCGTAAAAGATGTGACATTTCTTGACTTTTTCTCTAGTTCAATTTGGTGGAAACCAGATGTTAAATCTAAACAGGAGAAATATTTTGATCTTCCCAACTGGTCCAAAATATCATCTATTCTGGGCAGTGGGAACTTATCGGCTATTAGTTTTTTATTTATGCCCCTATAATCAACTACCATTCTCCATCGTTTTTGAGTTTTTCCTGGTAGTGATTTTTTTGGTACTAATAGCAATGGGCTGTTGTATGCTGATACTGAGGGCTCTATTATGTCATCTTTTATAAGTTTCTTTATTTGAATATTTATTTCGTCTTTTTGGCTATGGGGTATTCGATAGTTTTTTATGTAAACCGGCTCATCGTTTAATAGTTTTAATTCCTGTTTGTAAAAGTTGTTTACTGTTATTGGTTCACTCTCCATGGCAAATATATCAACGTATTCAGAACAGAGGGTATTCATTTCCTTTTTTATAAATTTCGGAAAATTCGTATTAAGTTTTTCCATAATTTCTTTATTTTTGTTTATTTTTATGTTTTTATTGTTAATTAGTTCATAATCCTCAAGGTTTTCCGTTTGAATATTTGCATCGGATACTGTGCAATTATTATCAGTTGTATTGATGATTCGGACAAAAGCTTGTTTGCTTGTGGTAATTGTATTTGCAATGAAGATGCCTTTGTGAATTTCCTGGTTCGGTATGAGAACTTCTTTGTGTTCTGAGCATATTTTCATTAAACGGACAACTTCGGACCTAGCTGGAATTGTTATTGTATTTATATGTTGTGAATTTTGCATAGGAATGGCTATGTCTTCGTGAAAGTCGTGTGGTCTCAAAGTTAACCAATCTTGATTATCTTCGTAATCTAGAATGCAATTATATTGGAAAGTCATCTTTGACAAGATGAAAAGTATGTTTTATTAAAATATTGCCGCATATCAAGTCCGCCTCCACTATTCCTAGCGTATTAATTGTTCCTTTCCCTATACCATTGAGGTTCGTTGTAATTGAATTATTTATTTGTATATTATTTGTAATTTCGCCAATTTTGAAAATTGAAATATCAGCCCCTGTGTCTACCAAAAACGTTGATACCGCATTGTTTAGTGAAGTTTTTGTTGATATAAAACTATTGAAATGTAAATTGAACACGAATATGGATTTTTTAGCGCTATTTATTTTTGTGGGGGAGTTTATGCGTTTTCCGCATTTTCTGTACTATCTACAACGCGGACATTTTGGTGGCCTCCTCGTCTATTATTTTGTTGATTATTTCCGTTTCGGTAATAGCCACCGTTATTGTACCGACCGTTGTAGTTTCCGCGGAACTGGTTATTACCACGACCTCGGGTACCCTGGAAACGGCCTCTGTTTCCACGATACCCCCTATTTGAATAGTACATTACGGTATCTGCTCGTCCAGTTGCTTCGGTGCAACTGGTAACGAATTTTGCTACCGCTTCGCTCATGGTCGAGAAAGTTCCAGCCTGCATGATAAGTTTGACCTTATCATTGGTGCAGTTTTGAATCATTGCCTTGACCGCCTGCTGGGTACTATATTTTTCTGCCTGCTCATGTGTCATTCCGTCAGAAATAAAAGCGCATTCCAGAGTTTTTGTTAATTGCTCAATTTCTTTTGTGTACTGGTTAGCGGTCTTACTCATCTGACGGATGTTCATTATTTTGGCAGTTATTGAATCTATTGATTCGCCTTTTACGTTTGTTTTAAGTCTATTTATAATGGATACAAGTGTGCATTCTGTACTAATTAAATTCCTAACAGCACCTTTAAGTTTGGTTTTTACCAATGACACTGCTGTGGCGTCATGTTCACCTTTGATGGTGTTAACCAAAGATAAGGCATCCAGAAAACTTTGTAGGTTTTCTGCCCTACCGTCAAACTCTGGGATGAGTTTGCTGGCTGTATTAAGAAATTCTATTATAGTTTGAGGCATATTTGAACCTGAAGGTTTTTCACCTTCTGAACTATCGTCGCTATCTGAACTATTTTGCAGCAGTTCTCGTGTGAAAACTGCTGGGTTATTTAGCGCGATTGGTATCACTAAATGCAAATGGTGTCTTTTGTTAATGTTCTCAAGGCACTCTGTTAGCCGTTTGAGAACATCTGTGACCTGGCCGTTATGGAGTTCAGAAAGGTTATGGTGGGCTGCTTTTATTAAGCATTTGATTTCGTTGTAATTGTGAACAACGATCTCAGTATGCTTAATTAGCGTTTGTCGCTTAATGCGCTTTGTCTTATTTAGACATTTATATGATTTATCAAATTCCACCCTGAAGTCTCTAATTTTTTGTCTTAATGTTTCCCATTCCATTCCGAGTGGTAGCTGGGTTGCAGAATTTTTATCAAGAGTTAAACTAGATTTTATCTAGTGCATCAGCGCGAGACATATACCTTTTTTTCAGGCTTCTATGATGCATGTTGTAAATTTTGATTATTAGATTTATTGCTGCCATGATTACTAATATTAACAGAAGAAACCACAATTCATTGATGCTATTTGTGTGATCGACAATTTGTATCTTGTTCACCACATTGGCATTGGGGTTTTCTACTTTTGATTGCGTTTTCCCCATTGTAATTATTAATATTTAGTATTTAAAAAAAAATATTTTTTTTTCTTAATTAAAATTTTTTTTTTTTTTTTATTTGTTTAATTGTTTAATTTTAGAAATATTTTTATTTTATCATTTTATTTAATACTTATACATATAAAAAGGAAAAATATTATATATATATATATAAATTTAAGAATTAATTTGGGGTGCTGGTTTGTTTGGCCAGCAGCCGTTTCTTCGCATCGCGAAGCGCCAGTTTGGTGGCGTCCAGCAGCTCTTTGTAGCGCCTCTGGTCATCCGGTGATCCTCGTGCGGCCTTTTCGCACTCGATTAGTAGGCGACGAGTGCGGATCAGGCGAGCCTGTTTTCCTCCTCTCCTTGCCTTCGGAACTGTTTTACTCGGGGTTGCTTCCTCGCTCCTTTGCTGCTTGGCTGTCTTCTGCCTTGCTTTGTATTCCTCGATGGTGAGTCTTTTTGGTCCTGACTCCGGGTACTGCTCCAGTACCTCCTCTATTCCTGGTGGGTCCTTCTGGATAGAAGGCTCCCCTGTCAAGAATTGTATCTCTCCTTCCGATGTCATGAATTTTTATTTATTGGTTAGACCTCGAGTCTTTTTAAGCAAAATGTAGAATGTAACCAAATTCCACCAAGGAGACTATGGACTCGTCTGTGAAGAGCTGCAGCTCCTTGAAGCGGCACAAAATATCCTTCAGGTAGAGGGTTTATGACTTCTTGTCGCCGTAGACGATGGTTCAGCACCTCATCGACACAGGACTCCACATTGATTTTTCTGCTGTTATCGACCTCCCCGGCAGATGCATTGGCACCCTTGAGATTGGTTTCTATATCTGTTATAAACGGTTTGGCTGATATTATTATATTATATATTATTATATTATATATCTGGCGCTATAACGCCGCTGATATATATATAATAATGGCAGGATCGCCATGTAGTAGACAGAGGACAGAAGAACCCGGGTAGTGTAGTACGCTTGGATGTTATAATTGTTATGATTGATTTTTATTTAAATGAAGCTTATATTTATACAAAATCGTTGGGGCGAGTTGCCTCCATGCAGGTGGGAAACAAAGCCCTGTTGCGTAAGGTTCCCACCGTCAATATGCAATATTAGGCGTCAGCTTTCGGTCAGCGGTGGTACCTGCCCAATGCCCGTTACGTAAGGTTCTCACGGTTTAGATGCAGACGCATCACTTTTGGGCAGTGACAATGACCGCCGCCGAAACTGCATCATATTGCAACTTGGCCTTGGGGTGGTGCTTAAATTGGTTAGGCCAAGCACACTGCATGAATACACTACATCATTTTCTCAAAGTATTAAAATTGGTTTTTATACCCGTACTCAAAAAAGAGTTAAGGGGTATATTAGATTTGTGGTAAAAGTGGATGTGTGTAACGCAGAGAAGGAAACGTTTCCGACCCCATAAAGTATATATATTCTTGATCAGCATCAATAGCCGAGTCGATAGAGCCATGTCTGTCTGTCCGTCTGTCCGTCTGACCGTCTGTCCGTCTGTCCGTCTTGTTTGACGCCTGGATCTCAGAGACTATAAGAGCTAGGGCAACCAAATTTGTTTACCAGACTCATGTGATATCACACTGCTACAAGTGTATTTCAAAATTTCGCCCCGCCCCCTTCCGCCCCCACAAAGAACGAAAATCTGTGGCAGCCACCATTTTAAAGATACGATAAAACTGAAAGCGCAGTATCGTAGAAAATAACCATATCTACCAGATTGCCGAATCTGAATCAGATCGGATCATAATTATAGCCAGAATGAAGAAATGAATTCTCTGTTGGTTCCCTCTCCTTCTCCAGCGCTGCTGACGCAACTGATTCTCTTTCTCGCTCGCACACTCTGCCGCGTTCAGTGCGCGAGCAACCACTAGCGGAGGAGATGTAGAATCTAAATGGAACACGTACAATCTACATGTTAGATGTAGAATAGACATTGTATATGTAGATGTAGATAGCAGTTGTAGCAAAAAAATGTAAAATGTAAAATTTTTTTTTTTTTTCCAAAATTCTACAAAATCATAAGCTGTATATACTGACTGAGTACGGGTATAAGTAGAGTCGTGTCCCCAGAAACGACTCACACGTTCCTTCTCGTTTTTTTTGGTAACATATTAAGAAAACTTCAAACTGTAAAGTCCAATACCAAACATGTTATATAACATAGAACTGTTAAGTTTAACAGCTGTTAAAGTCAGCTGTTGCTGTAGAAAAGCACTTGCTTTAAGATTGCAATATTTTTGCAGCCTATTTTCAAAATGCCACTATTCAAACGCGAAACATTCTTTTTGTGAAAATTAAAAAGGATAGCAATTACACGGGTTTTAACTATGTAATGGTTGGGAAGAAGAGCTCGTACTAAAATTTTGGAAGTGTGAAGAAGTCCCTGAACCAGTCGATAAGTTCACAGAGGAAGAAAAACAGTGCAAAGATTGTTTTGTTACGCATGTTAAGTAAGAGGCCTCGCGACATTTAGTGGTAGCTCTGCCATTCAAAAATCCTCAAATTGAATAAGGAGAAACTGATCAAATCGCTCTAACCAGGTTCCTAAACTTAGAGAAGAGGTTGAATCGTAGCCAAGCTCTGAAGGAACAATATGTTCAATTTAATGAAGAAAACAGCCAATTATTGCATTTAGAGGCAATAAGGACTACAGAGAAAAATAAAGTTGAATACTTCATGCCTCATCATCCGGTTATTCGCCCAGGTAGTGTAATGGATAACGATTTGTAGGATAGATGTTTTACCCAGAGATTGACCAGCACGCTATTATTCCGGCTACTGTCTCGTCGGCAAAAGGATGGTATTCTTTTCTTGTCAATTCTGAGACCTACGCGTATATATATATAATTTAAGAGCGTGCGAAGAGAAAACAAAACTGATGCCCGATAGACTCTATTTATACCCACACGTAACACAAACGAACTTACTCTTCCTCAGATGGTATAGAGGAACACGCCCACCCTTCCTAGGTCATATTTTTCCAGTGCTATCAAATCACTATGACCCCTTTATCAAGGCCGAAAACTACAGAGGCTGGGTATCGGAGATCATAAGATATTTTTTTTTATCTAAACATTATAAAATTGATTTATTAAAAGTAAAATTTATATTTAAATACTAAAATCTTAGCTCTAAACATTTATAACTACAATGATTCCCCCAGAAATATTCTGTCTAGTCAAACGTTTCATTTAATTCCCCTTCTTCGAAATTCTCTTTGCTTCCCCGCTATGCTGTACAACAGCTGATCGCTCTCTTCGGAAACCCCGCTCTGGGCTCGTTCCCTTATATGGTCATTGACCTATGTAAACTTATGCTTCTACTAAAATTTGGTATAAATGAAATAGATTCACATCGGTGAAACCGATTAGAAAAATTATAGGCCCTATTTAAATCTTACTCACTCTGTTGCGGTCCATCGGCGAAAGCGCTTTCACGATGTCTGCTGTTGGTTTGGAAGGTTAGCGATTTGTTAAATGGTTTTCACTGAATTCAATATTTCATTTTTTTTCCTTGCCTCCCAAAAAAAAATTCAAACTAAAGAGAATAACGCACTTAAATTTAAACTATTAACTAATTCTCTAAGTTATATCGTTCGAGGTTCTCCCTCCCTTCTATTTCCTTCTCCTCTTTACACGCACGTCGTATGCCGAAAATTCGAACTGCTTATACCTCTCTCTCTCACTTTAAGCGCTCTGTGTGGCACCGTGGGACAAACTCATAATTTTAATTTTTTTTGATAAATTTTCATTTTTTTTCTCTGTATAAATTTTGTTTTCTTTTATGGTTGCCACTAATTAATTATTTTGATCCAGCATCTGAAGGCATGAGAGGAGATAACCTGCACTAGGGAGTTCTCCTCTACCACAGGCCATGTTGCCTTGAATTATTTCTTTTTTTAGGTTAAAAAGAATTTTTTTTCTTATCCTCTTTTATCACTCTAAATGGGTTCTACTTCCACACTTTTCACGCATCACTCGCTTTTCGTTTAATTATTCTGGTGGATTACTGAATTGTTAACGTTATCTTAATCAGAAACCTCGAAATGGGCTTAGCCTATACCGCGCGCTGCTGCTCCACGCTGGAGTCTGTCCCGCTCTTCGGAGCGCCTCTGCCTAGCTCGACTTTTCGAACTCGCTCTCGCTAGCGCCGGCCGTTCCCCTGCATTAAGTTTCCCCGCAGCTTTACATTCCCCTGTTGATTAATGCACGGATGATCGTTTGAGGCTTGCCGCTGCTTTTGCTTGCGTTAAAACTGAAAATTGGGTGCCAAACCTAAACGGGAATAAACAATATTCTCTTTAATTCGACTTCTGCCACCCCTCTCGAAATTTTTTTTCTTGGATTTCCTTCCACTTACCAAGAAAATAATTGAAATTTCTTTCGGTCGACTGCTTCGCCTATCCCGCAATATCACTGATTTGGCTAAAAATTGAACTTTTGAGATTTTTCTCCACTATCTTTCACTTGTTACATACCTCTAGTAGATGTATGTACCACGAGCACTGGTCTTCACTGGTCAGCGTCCACCAAAGAAAAGAAAGATCGCCATTCTGCATCGACTCTCGGAACCTACTTTTCCTTTTCGACCCTTCCACTGTCAACTTTCGCTCTCCTTTCCCCAAATGTACACCTTGACCAGTAGGTGGCGTTGCCTTACCCCTTCCGCGCTGTTAAGGCGCACAGATTTAGAGCCACTGGGTACTTTAAATCAAATTTAAAAAAACCCCCAACAGCTACGGGCACCTTACAAATCCCCCCTGCCAAAATCAGACTTGGGGTAATATGCTAGATCCGTCCATTGACTGAAACCACAAGGCTGATTAAACCCGTAGCTTTGACGCCACTACTGCCGCATGTCTTTCGCATGATACTTTCCAATGCATTTTCCCTGCAGATCTTCCAGTTCATAGATCGAGTTTCCTATTTTATTTCTAACTCTCGCCTTTACAAATACATTGCCAAGTTTCGCATTGTAACCAGCCGGGAAACTGCTTTGCTTGAAGTTTCTTCTAAACACCTCCTGTCCCACTTTATACGACACTATTCGCGATCTCTTATCATACTGCCGTTGATTACGCTCGTTTTGTTTTTGCATAGCATCGGTGGCCTTTTTACGGACTACCTCTAGCGAACCTTCTTTCGTAAATGTTGCGTTCCTGTCTTCAAGCAATTTCAACGACCTTAGAAGTGAATATGTTCCCCCCGATGTAATCATCTGCTGCCCAAATACCATATAATAGGGAGTCGTGCCTATGCCCGAATGGATTGCTGATCTCAAGGCACAACAAATGCTGCTCAGATGCTCATCCCAATCCTTCTGATCCGGTCGGATATACGCTCGAATGGCAGCTATGACCGATCGATTTACGCGCTCCGATGCATTTGCTTGCGGAGCATGCACGGCCGTGAGCGTATGTTTTATTCTGTGCGTTCGCAACAGAGTTTGGAAAGTGTCTGCTCTAAACTGGGAGCCATTATCCGAAAACACGATTTCCGGAACGCCAAAAGTGTGGAAAAGTTCTTCCTTCAGATATTTTATAACCACCTCAGCTGTTAGTTTCTTGACCGGTTTTAGAAAAACAAACTTCGAGTAATGATCTAGAACGATAAATATTCCGATGTGACCGCTTCGTGATCTCGGATACGGACCCAAGAAGTCAATGTAAAGCCTTTGGAAAAATCTCTCTGACTCCGCCGGTGTCCCAATAGGAGGTCTCAAAGTGGCATTAGGTGGTTTTGTTGACTTGCATTGACTACAAGCAGTAATGTATGTTTTAACGTCGTTCACCAGTCCTGGCCAATAAT